TTATACCTACTTGTGTTTGATTCTTAATCAGGACTTTTGTTTGCAAGCAATAGAAACCCAAGCTGAACTAGTTTCAGAAAAAGAAAGGAATATATTGACTCAGTTATTAAAAAAACTTGAGTAAATAAACCACAGTTGGCAGAGATGCAGTGGTTTCAGGAACAGCTTCAGTGAAGTATTTGAACTCTGCCCAGCCTGTCTTATCTTGTCTCTGGTACCTCTGTGTGTGCTTGCTTGATGGTATCTCACTGAATGCTGGCTTCTTTCATGTACTGAGAAACACCATCCCTGGAGGTTGCTGAACCTCACAGCTCATATTCAGCTTGTAGAGGGGGTTGAATTCTTTTTCATAGTTTGAAAAATTCCAAGATAGGCTGGGCACCCTTCCCTGAATTGGCCAATTGTGGCTGGCAGGGCACGGTTGTGTTTGAAGATGGTAGACCTGTGAGAATTCGGGACTATAGTAATGGGTGAGTTATTTCCCGGAAATAACTCGCCCTCATTTCTTCCCTTTTCCCCTTCCTTTTCTTCTTCTCTTTCCCACTTCATCTCTTCTTGGCATCACCTCTTGGGCTTTAGCTAAGTCCATTCATGCTGTGGCCCTTGACACCACATCAGCAAGTCAGGGTTTGCGTTGCACCCTTACCTTCTTCAGAGTGGAGTGCCTGTGGTGCAAAGATGCCATTCCTTGTTAATTTTGGCTGCCTCTCATACCTTGGCTATATTGTCAAGCTAAAAGAAAGAGCCCTTCCTGTTAGGGATGAGGATATGGCAGGAGACACGGAGAGAGAGGGGTAGATACCTCTGTGCTCCCATTGTCACGTGAGCATGTCAGCATGATCTACACAGTTAGTTCTGGCTGAAATGTCCTCATAGGCAGCATCACTTTAGGAGCTAGCTGACCTTTGGATAACTTTTTTCAGAGATAGATTACGGGCTTTTATGTGGGCAGCAACCTGTGCCTCAGGTGGGTACATAAAGCAGGGTGCCAGGAACAAGAATGGGCAGGAAGAAAAGCGATGGGAATTTACAAAATTTCCAGCTCATTACAGACTACACTCATCACCTCTCTCCTTTTGTTTTAGTTTTGAATCTATTGAGTTGCAGGTTGTTTTTGAAGAGCTGTGTTCCACTCTTCCACTCATGTTTTAACAAGCAAGGAGCCACATGTTAAATGGGTAGAGTTGGAAGAATGAGTACAGGAAAATTATTCAAAAGAGCTCTAGTTGGCTGGGTATGGTGGCTCACGCCTGTAATCCCAGCACTTTGGGAGACTGAGGTTGGCAGATCATGAGGTCAAGAGATCAAGATCATCTGAGCCAACATGGTGAAATCCCGTCTCTACTAAAAATACAAAAAGTTAGCTGGGTGTGGTGGTGCACGCCTGTAGTCCCAGCTACTCGGGAGCCTGAGGCAGGAGAGTTGCTTGAACCCAGTAGATGGAGATTGCAGTGAGCTGAGATCGTGCCACTGCACTACAGCCTGGGTGTGGGTGACAGTGTGAGGCTTCATCTCAAAAAAATAAAAAGAGCTCTAGTAACCTCCGTGTGTTTCTCACATATTGCTGAGCATACTCAGACAAGACAAGAAAAGGTACTTTCTCCTGCTTTACTCCCAAAATTAACAACCAAAGCATGACACACATATATTTAGCTATAAATAAAGAAATCTATTTAACTTCAGTCATGTATGGGAAATGTATATTTGTGATGAGTCCATGTTACAAACAATGACAGAGACAATCATGACCTGGGTATAAATGTACAAATCTCCAAATTGTTAGTTTATGGTAGAAAATTTAGGATGTATGAGTTTCCTAGGGCTGCTGTAATAAGTGACTGTAAGCTGGGTAGCTTGAAACAGCAGAAAAATTATTCTCTCACAGCTCTGGAGATCAGAAGTCTGAAATCAAGATATAAGCAGGGCCAGTCTCCTTCCAAAAGCTCCCCTTTCTTGCCTCTTCCAGATTCTGGTAGCTTCTGGCATTTTTTGGCTTGTGGCAGCCTCCGCCTGCATCTTCATGTCTCCATCCTCTGTCTGTGTGTGTCTGTGTCTGAATCTCCCTCTCCTTTCTCTCATAAAGACATGAGTCATTGGATTGAGAGCCCACCTTAATCCTGTGTGATCTCATCTCAACCAATTACATCTGCAAAGACCCTATTTTCAAATAAAGTCCTCTTCCGAGGTTCCAAATGGACATGAATTTTCAGGAGGCGCTGTTAACACAGCACAGAGGAATCAAGCAAGAAAATATGTTTCTTTCAGTCAGCATTATTGTTTAGGTAATTGGCTATTTGAAGCCTGCAGAACCATACGGATTTTTGTTGGCCAGTACTCAGTGTCTTTCACTAAAAGCCTTTTCTGAATTGAATCTGTTTTCAGGGTAGGTGCTGGTGAAGGGAGACCAGCAGGTAGGCACAGTTTTGCCAGAGATCTCATTCCTTCAGTCGCTGAAAGAAAACATACATTTCCCCTAAGATTTTCTTGCCTCATATTCTGAAACAGTTTCTTGGTTCTAAGTTCTAGGGAATTCTGCAACACATAGACTTTGTTGGTCTTATCCCTGTACTCAGTCCCTTGGTCTTAGGTTCTCTATGTCTCATCCCACTCCTTATAGCTCAAGTTAAGCAGAATAGAATGCCACCAAGTGTAGATTCTTTGAATCATTTTATTACTTTTTACATTGTAAAAAATGAATCTATGCAACGGGTTGTTGACATTTAAGACTTTTCAATAATATTGTGTCCTTTGCATCAAATTCCACCCCCAAGCTCTGCCCTCAGGCAACTATAGAGTGGATATAAATGCTTTCCTCTCTCACCAGAATAATGAAGACATTTGCTGAGAGCTGGTTAGGAGGTATGCATAGATTGGGAAAGGTTTTAGAATAGCCACTTCAGGGAGATGAACAGAATGCAGAGCAATGACTTTCTGAGGCAAAAGTGTGAGTTATGAACATTGAAGTCTTCTGCGAATAGTTGTATAAAGTACATCTTCAGTGTCCCAAGTGGAGGATGAGAAGGAGCCGATAACAGGAGTGATTCACCATTTGAGCATTTGGGTCAGTTGTGAGAGTGCTGCTGAGTGATGAGTTCAAGTGGCCTCCCAGGAGAAAATGGCAGGCTGAGCAACTGAAAAGTGTGAAAGAGCTAACAGGGAAGGAAAGAGACGCACAAAGAGAATTTCAGACGTAGTGTACTCATGGGCAGATACAAGGACAGATGTGACAATGGGATTCAGTAGCTGAAGTGGGAGGCAGTATAGTGGTGATAATCAAGAACTTCAGAGGCAAATGAATTTAATGATTCAGACTCACTGATGTTGGCTTCATGGAAAGGGTCATATTCATTTTATTTTATTTCAATTCAATAAATAGTTATTAAGTACTCTTTTTGCTGCAGGGTCTATGTTAGGTATATTTGACCTGGATAAAGTAGGTAACAAGAGATGATGAGGTTAGGAAAAATGGTCATTGCCAAGGTCAGCTTTAGGGTCAATGTTAATTTCCACCTTGGTTTTGGCTACTCTTGAGCAGTTGTTTATTGTTGTTCTTTTCTTTTCTTGCTAAGATATCTCAAGTGTATCTGAAGGCTCCAGTCACTTGATCTAACAGAAGAGACTATTTTCCTCTTTAAAAGATTCTTTCAGTTGAAGTCTTTTCCTTTCTTTTTCATCTATGTTCACGTTTCTAGGCTGTCCCTTTAATACAGCAGTTAACAAATAACCCATAGCTGCCAGGCCTTCCTTGCCTGGTCTGTTTTGCCATAGAAGGTAAGCTCACAAGCGTCTCATCATTCTGAGTCCGTAAACCCCACTTTTGTACAAAAATGTGGGATCAATAACACAGTTTGATGTCATCAGGGGAATTTCCATGTTTGCGTCTTGCCCCCACTTCCATATGCACTGCTTTATATTCCTTTTTATTTATTTCTTCTGCTGTCATATAGCCAGGCTACAAGCAAAATTAAATTAAATGTTCATTCCAAGGTTAGAAATACCAATTTATCTACATTCGTGCACTTTCTATGGCCATGACTTTCTTTAATACTTCCTACATTTTTAATATTTTTTAGTAGAGGCAACTTTTGGCATTCCCACTGTGATTGTAATAATAATGTGAATGTGGGAAGTAACCAGAATAAGGAACGCTTTTGAAGTGCTACTCTTTAATATACTGATACATTACAGCCTTACTTTTCTTAGTATTTTAAGTAAAAAAATGTATAACTCTTATCATCATTACAAACAATGAAATAATGCAAAAGCAGAAGTCTTATTTTTTCTGTGGACAGTTACCCAGCACATCAGAGAGTCGGGTTAATGGTGCATTCAGCGAACAAGCAGGAGGGGGCATGGAGCTCTGTGTGTGCCTCACTCCGCCTGCTCAGACCGTGCCTTGGCACTTCCGCCTTACTGGCACTGAAGAAGAATATCATAACAGAGCTTAACACACAAGTTTGTTGATGGTTTAAAATGTTTGTAGAATTTGTTGTGGGAGCAGAAAATAATAAGCAGCCGCCATTGGGGGATTGGTAGCAGTGCCCTGGCTTCATCAGGCTCTGTAAGCATGGCATGAAGGATTGTGGGAAATCCTATCCTGTGCTCAGCATTTGGGCCAATGGCCCTGTCCTGCACTGATCACAGTGCTCCCATTTCCTCAAGTTGTATCCTCCATTAAAGAGGCTATGTCCATCCTTAAGGAATATTCTTGGTGTCTCATTTAATATCCCCATGGTGGTCTGAAATTTTCCTCTTTAGAAATTATTCTTCTATTCTTCAGGAGTTTGATAATCAGGTATTCTTTTTTTCCTCTCATATTAACAGCCTCTTAATTTATATTTATCCTTACATGTCATTTCCAAGCACTTGTTTTTCTCTTTTTCCCCCTTTCTTTGCTTACATCCTATTTTGCCAAGGGCATGCTTCTTCCAAGCCCTTTTATCCTCTCTTCCCATGATCAGTACCCAAGTTTGTAGCAAGCTTCCTTGTTGTTTTATAGGTTGATGTTTTTGCTTAGGAAGTTCTCATGTTTTAGGCTGTATCCTCAATCCGTAACCTGAAGGTCAGATTACAATTTAATTCTTCTTGAAGCCGTCATCAGGTTTTGAAGAGAAGCCTTTTTGTTTGCCCTTTTTAGGAAGGAACACATTGAAAGGCCATGGGCCTGTCTTCTCATCCTAGAGGCCAAGGGGCCCTGGGACTGGAGTGGCAAGGAAGCCAGGAGGCCCCTCCCCAGGTGTAAGACTCACAACCTGGTGCTGCACCCTGAGGGCATCAGCGTGTGGTGGTCCCTGCTAGTGGCTTCCAGAAGCACCTTCTGGCATTGTTGATGACAGCTGTCGGTAGCTTGTCTTACTGAAGGCTTTCATCCTCCCTCCCACTGGCAGCAACTTCCAGGGTCCCTGATGCGTCTCCAACACACTTCCTGCAATAGTGTAGCCATTAGAAAAGTACAGACTTTGGCCTCAGGCCAGCCTGGTTTAAAATCCCGTCTACCATTTCCCAACCATGGTACTTTGAGCTTGTTGTCTAATCTCTGACTTTCAGTAAATTTGTAAGATTGAAGATTATAATGTCTTTCTTATAGATTTGTTGTTAATATTAAATACATAGAATGATGCATATGTGGCTAGTGGATAGTAGGTCTAAATAAAAGACAGATGTTATTATTATTCCAGGGATAAATTGGTAGCTTGGCAGTTTGGTGTTAGTTTCAGCACTTCCTATGAAGACAAAAAAAGCACTTGCTCTTAAAAGGTTCTTTCAAACTGTTTATTTGAAGCTCCCCAGTCAGGCACCACCCAGCATCACACACCCTTAACTCCCTCTTCCTACACTTCAGTGAAGGCCACTAGTGTCTGAAGCTGACATGACAGTAACCAACTCTCTGGTGCCCTAAAGCCTTCTTTCCAAGACCTACCTTGTAGAGCTCAGTACAACCTTCAGGTTTTGCCTGAACTTACAAGGCACTCAGCGAAAATCTCACATGTGTCTGAATATTTTGCTGTTGACATCTTAGCAGTGCCCTGTTCCCCTTGGAAGACTGAGGAACCCAAAAATGTCAAGTCTCAGGCAGAAGCTCAAACTAGACATAGAAATGAAATTCCAATAGAAATCCTGGGTTCTACTTCTGTGCAATCATTGTTATTATGCAACCATGCTTGAACAATAATAACTACCCTTTTCGAGCAAAATAGAAAAGTTTCTGCCTTTAGGGCTCATGACCTGTTAGAGACAAAACAAGTGCGAACAAAACCGTGTGCAATGTTTTTTCCATGCATGTGATGTTAAAAATGTACCCGAGGCTTAGGTGTGGTATGACTCATTGTGTAACACAAAAGAAAACTGGATTTAAAAACTTGAATTTCTTGGCTGCACCTTCAGACTCTACCCACTACATTCCCTTTCCCCCCTTGCGTAGATTTTCCTACAGAAAAGAGAAAAACTACGGATAAAATGGAAAACAAAGTCATAGGAGAAAACAGCTGAAAGCACTTCATGTAAATGTGCATGCTGAAAGTAGAGAGCAAGCAAGGAGCTCAAAATGCAGTGCTGTATTTGAGTAGTTAGGACTAAACACGAAAGTGCCGATGAACCCTAAGGCTAAACTCTTGGATATTTAGGAGCACACTAGGGCTTCTTTATCGGCTGAACAAAGATTCAAACAACTCTGAGGGGAAAGAAAAAAGAACTCTGTAACTCAGGGTCCCCAGCCTTTTTGCCAACAAGGAACTGGGTTCTGGAGGACAGTTTTTCCATGGACTGTAGGATGGAGGACATGGTTTTGGGATGAAACTGTTCCACCTCAGATCATCAGGCATTAGAGTCTCATAAAGAGCACTGAACCAAGATCCCTCACAGACACAATTCACAGTAAGATTCGCGCTCCTGTGAGAATCACACGCCACTGCTGATCTGACAGGACGTGGAGCTCAGACTGTAATGTGAGTGATGGGGAGGAGCCATACAGATGAAGCTTTGCTCCCTTGCCTGCCGCTCACCTCCTGCTGTGCAGCCCAGTTCCTAACAGGCCTTGGACCAGTACTGGATTGGGGACCCCTGCTGTAATTGATGGCAACACCTATAGCTCACCTACACCAAGTGCAAGGACCCATTTGGTCTACATATAGAATCTCTGGGATGCTAGGGTGTACTTTACTCATTCTGAGTTGATTCCTAGGTTCTTGGACTAAAGTGGGTGAGTGTTATCAAGGGAACTAACAGAGCAAACAGTGGAAGAAGCGCTTTCACGTGGATCATGCTTTTCACATGAGGACCAATTTCACTGCCCATTCTACTTGTTTCTAGTTTTCCTCTCCGAATTCGAACAGTGTCACAGGAGCATGTAGGTAACAGTGCTTTTTTTCCCTCTTTCAAATTGTAATAATAAAATTGTTACCAGCTTTTGATCTTAATCATTAAAATAAAAATAAAATGTGCAAGGAAGCTTGCAGCAAGTTTCTTTGTTTCATGTGTGGATTTTTTTTCTTAGGAAATCCTCATGTTTTAGGCTATACCCTCAATTCTTAGTCTGGAGGCCAGATTACAATTTGATTCTTTTTGAATTTTATTGATTATAAAATTATCAATAAAAATGATTGGCCAGGTGTGGTGGCTCACGCCTGTAATCTCAGCACTTTGGGAGGCCAAGGCAGGTGGAGCACGAGGTCACGAGTTTAAGACCAGCCTGGCCAAGATGGCGAAACTCCATCTCTACTAAAAATACAAAAATCAGGGCGTAGTGGCGGGCGCCTATAATCCCAGCTACTTGGGAGGCTAAGGCAAAGAATCGCTTAAACCAGGAGCCGGAGATTGCAGTGAGCTGAAATTGCGCCACTGCACACCAGCCTCAGCAACAGAGTAAGACTCCATCTCAAAAAAACAAAACAAAACAAAAAAAGATTGAGCCCTAGCCTTCTTCTCAGGACCATGCATTTGTGGAGATGAACAAGACCTCATCTCTCAGCTCTGGTAGGGATGAGTAAAGATAACATTTTGAGGTGGATGAGAGGGAGACTCGGAGCATTTGTGCCTACAGCCTTGACTTCTTTCTTTCTATGTGAATATATATGTATATGGGAGGAGGAGGAAGGGCAGGCCTGGGAGAAAGCAAGGAAATTTCAAAACAGTTGCTCTGCAGAATGGGCAAGGGACACGACAGCGAGTTAACAGCCAAAAAAGCCGATTAGTAAAGCCCTGTGTTTCTTGGAGTAAATGGTTGTCTCATCCTGTTATTGCCATTGTCATCAGCATTATCTTTACCATTGTCACCATCTCCAGAACAAATTAGACTTGAACTACACAACCTTTACATAATTGAGAAGAATGTTCCTTTGAGAAACTGATAATAGTTTATGTTAGTTTTCGTGCTTGTCGTGGGATGTTGCAGGGTGGCTTTATTTATTGTGTCCTTCCTCTCATTTGTGCCTGTGTAGGTTGAGCCAGTGATACAGAAAGGCCATGAGAGTCTGGTGCACCACATCCTGCTCTATCAGTGCAGCAGCAACTTCAACGACAGCGTTCTGGCGTCCGGCCATGAGTGCTATCACCCCAACATGCCTGACGCGTTCCTCACCTGTGAAACTGTGATTTTTGCCTGGGCTATTGGTGGAGAGGTGGGACTAATGATTACTGAGACATAACACAATTAATTAATCATGTTTCCCTCCACAAATAGGACTCCAATTAATACAAGTAAAGCTCTAACTCTACTTTTGATATGAAGGTGGCTTAACTCCATTTTCCTAAGAAGGGATTCTTTCCTAAAGTCATTTTTATTTTATTTCATCAGTTGTAGATTAATGGGGTTCCAGAGGGTTGAAATATCCTTGAAAATGGCTGGTTTTTGAGTGGAGCTCTCAGGGACTCTCCTAGGACACTGTCTCATGACATTTTCCATATTTAGGGTTTTTCTTATCCACCTCATGTTGGATTATCCCTTGGCACAGCATTAGATCCCCATTATGTGCTCCTAGAAGTCCATTATGACAATCCGACTTACAAGGAAGGTGAGTTTATTGCTCATATATTTTACCTATGATTTTTATAAAAGTTTTGTATCTTGTAACTCTTGTGTTTAACAGAGTTGAAGCAAAATAGCAGCCAATGTTAGAAAGAATTAACCTATACATTTATCATTCAAATTAGGCTACTTTTAAAAGTAAAAGTGGGTACCATTTATAGTTATATTGTAACAGCAGGCATTAACCAGCATTAAACCAGGTAAATGAGCACATGCAGTCACTAATCTTGAAAAATCATTTGCATACTACCTACCGGGAAGTAGAATAATAGACTTTTCCTTTGCAATGTGAATTAGTCCCAATGCATGGTGTTTATGGAACATTTTCTTTTTCTTTCTAACTGTACATAAGAGAAAGCTACCATTTACTATACTGAAAAGCATAAGCATTTTGTTGTGTGGTAAGCAAGTCATAGATATATTCAAGAAGTACTTAGGCAGTGACACTGTATAATATGATATTGAAGTAAAGAAATATATTTGATTGCTGAAATTATTTGTATGATATTCCAAATCCCAACATTGATAGATTTAATCTGAAATTATCAACAGAAGCAACTCCAAGTTATTATTTTACATTGGCTTATGCAATTATTCAGCAAATACTGAGCACCGACTATATGACAGATCTGTGCTTGAGGATATGATGTGAGTGAAAAACAGATGCTGTTCCCACCTTCATGGAAATTATAGCCCAATGGGAAAGAGAAACAACCAAATAATCACAACAATCATATGAAATTATACATACATCAATTGATCCAAAGGAGATATCTGACACTATGAGAGTATTGGTGACCTAATCCCTCCAGGGGTGTGTGGTGGTGGGGATGGTCTAGAAAGTCTTTGTTAAAGAATCAAACTATTCATCTGGGTGACTGCAGATGCTGAAGGGTTAGGTTTCAGTGAAGAAAGATGCTGATGAACCTGCAGAGGAAGGCTGAAGCAGACCATCGAAGGTCTTGTAGGGCCCATTAAGGATGTTGACCCTGAAGACAATGAGCAGCAATTGAAGAGTTTGATACAGTGGAGTCAAATAATGTGATTTGTGTTTGAAAAGACCACTCTGGCTGCTGCAGTATGAATAATAGATTATGAAGAGAGGACATGTGGTATGATAGTTAAAGAGCAATGTTTCTATAAAAGTAGGTGTTAAGCCATTCTGTTGGTGAGCAAGCCAGTATTCTTTTTTTTTTTACCCTAAAGTAATTAATAGGAAATAGTTTCTCTCTGAATTCACTTTAATTTCCACCCACCAATTATATCCCATACTCTGAACCATGAATCTATGAGAATTTCAGTTTAAAAACGCTCATAAATCAAGCATTTACAAAATAACCTGTTAAAAAATTCTAAAAGTTAGATTTTCCATGAAATCATAACTGACTATAAAGTATAAAAATTATCATCACAATAATAATGGGATTAATTATTGAATATGTCTTATATGGTAACATTTATTTTAAAAAATTTTACATTTTGGATTTTAAATTATTAATAGAATAAGTATTTTACATAATGTATAATATTTCTCCAATTGGAAATTCTATGTGAACTACTTTCTTTTATAGTCTTTATTACAAAAGCGGAAAACTTAATTTATTTGCCTTGTCTGTTGTCAATTAAGTTGACTTTCTCATAGTTTCAATGTAAAAATGAAATATCAGCTTATTTTTCTAACAGGTTAATAGAGAACTCAGAATTTTTAGTACTTTCTATTTTTATTCATATACATAATTAGACCAAATTTTAGATTATAGTAATTTTATTTTTTATAAATATAGCATAATGTGAATTTGTTTCCAGAAATGTTTTTTAATAATTACATTTTATTTGCTTAATAAATTATTACTTTATTTAGTAGATTATCTATTAATGGTCCAAATAGCTAATGAAATTAATGAACCTCACTATAGTAAATGCAACTGAAATTTCTACTTATATTTTTTCCCTGTTAAACTATTATAAGGAGGCAGATCGCAAAAATATAAAATACAAAACAAAATTCTGCAAGACATTTCCAGAGAAAATTCTAAGATCAATATAGATGTTCTACATTATCATGGTCATGGGTATCTGCTCTGGTAATTATGTAAAAGAATTGATTTTTATGATTAATTTGTTTAACAATTGATTGAAACCCTGGTACATGTGTGACTAGCTGCTATTTATTGAGCACCTCATTTGTGCCAAACCCTGTTCTAAGAACTTGGTATTTAAGCCACACATCACCCTTATGAGGGGGTAGTGCCATTATTATGGCCATTTTCCATATTGGAAAACCAAAACACAAACTGATTAGGTACCTTTCTGTCTTCATCTGTTTTGTGCTGCCATAGCAGAATACCATAGACTGGGTAATTTATAATGAACAGGAATTTGTTGCTCACAGTTCTGGAGGCTGAGAAGTACAAGTACATGGTACTGGCATCTGATGAGGGGTTTCTTGCTGTGTCATAACATGGCAGAAGGCTTCACTTGGTGGAAGGGTAAAGAGACCAAGAGGGTACAAACCCACTTCTGAAATAGTGGCATTAAGCCATTGACAGGGGAAGAGCCCTCATGACCTAGACCTCTTAAAGGCCTCACCATTCAGTACCAACGCAATGGCAATTAAATTTCAACAACATTCAGACCTACTTTTTGGAAGGGATAAACATTTAACCATAGCACTTGCCAAGGTCACATAACTCATAAGCAGCAGAGCTGGGATTTGCGGCCAGGTTGGTCAGCTCCGAAGTTGGTGTCCCTAACTGTCACACCAAAGTGCTTCCTTGTGATGACCCTGAACATCTGAACAAGCTGCAGTCAAGAAACACATAGTAAATTATTTTATGTTCACAATAACAAACTCACAAAGCAGGAAAGGAAGCTTGGATTTTTCCAAGGCTGTTGGAGGGGTTGTGAGGTAAGAATTTATTGGGATAATTATTGGAACACTTAATTTTAACAACTTATTTCATTCTAAAACATTCAAAGTAATGGATATCTTCTAAATGTGTGTATGTGTGTGTGTTTGTGAGTAAGGGGTATATAACATACGATGAGGAATATTTGATATAAAGACCTTGTGTTTAAAAATGATTGACTGGAAATAGACTAAGCCGATTGATTTAAAGGAGACGAGAAAGCAAACTGAGGGCAAGAGATCAATCTGTTAGTTACAGGTGGATAAGTCACTACTGCAGAAGGAAGTCAATTAATTTCCAAGTTACTGAAACAAATTTATGAAAAGTTTGGGGCTCACACTCTCCCTCCCTGTAATGAATGTGTCATAACAACAAGTGTCTTATTCATCTCTCACCCCCACAATGCCTAATAGCGTGCTGTTTATATAATGGATTCTTAACAGTTGTGTGTTGATTGAATGACTGTTGAATGAAGAAGACAATGTTGACAAGCTGTAAAGAAATAAAGTTAATCTTTAAAGAAATAAAGTTAATGAAGTAGTTTTCTTCATCAGCAAATGGTTTCTAAACTAAGGAATTTTTACCTCAAAGTAAATGTTATTGAACTTCATCTTGAACCAATATAAAATAAAACTTTTAATGAGTTATTGTATATTCTAATGAATGACTTCAGAATCTTCATTCTGTCTTCATGTTAGATAATTATGGCATATAGCAGCTAGATAACTGACACATTTCTCTCGTGGTATGCTGTGTGAGTCAACAAAGGTTGCAGGCAATATGGCTACTCATCTTTTAATTCTTGTTTATGAAACTGATTGTTGTCTGCCACTAATTTCTGCTTGTATTCTTGTCCTTCTTGACAGTTTATGGAAAATAAACCTATTTCAACTAAACGTGACAACTTAAAAATCAAACCAAGAATTTTCTTGGGAATAAAAACTTTTTTAAGTACTCAAACTCACTTTATGTGTTTTTGTTCTAGGCTTAATAGATAATTCTGGACTGAGGTTATTTTATACAATGGATATAAGGAAATATGATGCTGGGGTGATTGAGGCTGGCCTCTGGGTGAGCCTCTTCCATACCATCCCTCCAGGGATGCCTGAGTTCCAGTCTGAAGGCCACTGCACTCTGGAGTGCCTTGAAGAGGTAGGCAGCATCTCAGTCTGAGCTGCTCTCTGCAGATTCATCCATGCTCTTAGAAACTGTGGTGTGAAAAATTGCATGCGTGTTTATTATTGATTCCTTTCTTGTTGAAACATTGTGAAACCATTATTGCAATTTTAGTAGGACCTTTGACGGCTTTTTTTAATCTTGAAAACTACAGGAGTAGAACTCTAAAGACAGAAATCGTTGACAGGGTGTTTTTCTTCTTACCTGCCTTTTTTTTCGTTGCATATCTCATGCTTTATATCATCATTTGCAATTTCTACCTTTGTTTGTGTAGTCTTTTTTTCCTTTCCCTACTTTACCTTTTATCCCTATTTATTTTTTCCATTATTCACATTCACTTTCCTTTTTTCTCTGCCTTACGGTTTTCTTCCCTTCCTTCACACAGAGCAAAATAACTAATATAAAAATAGATATTGCATAGGAGAAAAGCTGAGTATAAGTATTTAGTAATGCCAATTTTTACTTAAAGCTTTTTTAATGAAAATATTTCAACATGGATCATATTCTTTATGAATTATAAGATCGTGGTTGTGGACAGTATGGCAGACTGATGAGGTGGAAAAATTAGGCTCTTCTGAGTTATTTAGGCCACAGTTCATACAAATTGCCATGACCTCATTTACAAACTGTAGGACCATGGGCAGTTCATTTAATTCCATTGACCCACTTTGGCTTTCTTATCTGGAAAAGTGGGAATAATATTTTCTTTTAAGAGTTTGGGTTTTCAGGTTACTAACGTAGTGGAATCTTTTTGCTAAGAGTGTTTATTGCCTCTTATCCTCCTAAAAGAAGGAAAAATGAAGGTAACCTGTAGAAATGATCTGGTGGGTCCCTCATAAGCATCAGTTCCGCTATTTTTCTCCCAGTAAATAAATGTTGCTCCACAAGGAGAACACTGAACAATCTGAATTCAAAATGTTTGGCAGTTGAAGCATTCATTTAAGTTGCCTTAGCTTTTTATCTCAATTGTCCCTCCAAGTGTGTCTGAATGTGAACTGTCTGTACATGCACTTGTTTGGGCTAATTGGGTCTTCCTTGGTGTCCCCTGCAGGCTCTGGAAGCCGAAAAACCAAGTGGAATTCATGTGTTTGCTGTTCTTCTCCATGCTCACCTGGCTGGCAGAGGCATCAGGCTGCGTCATTTTCGAAAAGGGAAGGAAATGAAACTACTTGCCTATGATGATGATTTTGACTTCAATTTCCAGGAGTTTCAGTATCTAAAGGAAGAACAAACCATCTTACCAGTATGCATGTTTTTGCTCTTTTTAATTGACTGTTATAAAAGTCATGAGACATATCTGCTGAGATGTGGCAAGGTTTCTAGAAGTGAAATGGATTTTTCCTTGTATCTGTTTTCTTAAAAACCACCCCCTGTGGGTGTTGTACAACCCAGATGGAATGTGTTTGATCTGTTTTCCAAAATTGAAACTCATTTTTTAATGATTCCCAGGAGCAATTCAAACTGTTGACAAGAAAAAAACAAAAACAAAACCCCTCAGGTTCTGAGGACTAAACGTTACTTTTTTTTATACTTGACATTCCAGCTAGCGAGTCTTTGGGTTGCAATTCTGGCAGTGGTAAAATCAGAGGTGTCTTTATGGTCTCTTGAAAAGATAGGATATTTTTAGAAGTTTCATTTTATTAAAAATGAATGTAAGGATAATTCTTTTACCTGATAAAGCTATTTGGATATAGCTAATTAAACTGTGCTGTGTGATCCAGCTTGACACAATGCATGGGGTTATGGTGAAGGAAAGAAGAGAATGAAGACTTTAAAGACGTTATAATGCTCCGTTTTCTCAAATTTTTATTCCATGACCATCAAGCTCAATTGCAGTATAATTTTCTATTCTTATTTAAAAGTCAGACCCCTATGCCATTTATGGAATGAGAGTAATAGCAGTATCTTTTCTACATGGTGCTGGAGACAGGGTTTTTAGACAGGATGAATTGTCAGGGAGAAGACATGGCACAATAAGATGTAAAAGGGAAGTTGAAAAAACAGAAGAAAGTCATGGAGAGGAAAGGGATCTTCTTTTTACTAATAGCTATCCCTTAAATCCATAGCTTTGGATCTATATTCCCTTTAGAAATTATTTGATACACCCTGAGAGTAGAAAGAAGTTTGAGAAACAGTGATCTGGTCAAGGTTTTTAAGGATTACACTCTATTTTATTGTGATATCTCTGGGGCTTTCCAAACAGTGTTATCTCAAATCTTCCTAACTGATGTGCCATGATGGGGGCATACGTGTGATGAGATACTTATCTTTGGACCCTCTGAGTGGTGTTGCAGGGAGGTCAGATTTAAGGACTAACACCCAGCAATGACTATCTCAGATCCATAAACAGCTTCATCCACTTACCTGAAAGGGGAAACAAACAAAAAAAAGTTATCATTTTCCATGTCTACTGTAATGTACAAAAGGATGGAAAACACTAGAACGATAAATTTCTGTTCATTTGCCTCACAATTCAATTTTAAGAAAATAAAGTCATGACTAGGGAGCTTTAAAGAAAATAAGGTAAATGAAGAGGTGATCACAGTAACTACTATGTTTGACATTTATTAAGTGTTCATCTGCACCAATGACCATGTGTTATATCATTTAATCACCTCATAATAGCTGTGAAAAAATAAGTACTATTTTTATCTTTAGGTTTTAGATGAACAAATTGTACCTGGGTTATATCATCCAGCTACAGTATTGTTGAGTCTGGCCTGAACAGAGTCTTTTTTTTTTGGAGTGCAGTGGTGTGATCTCAGCTTACTGCAACCTCTACCTCCTGGGTTCAAGCGATTCTCCTGCCTCAGCCTCCCGGGTAGCTGGGACTAGTTTCACCATGTTGGCAAGAATGGTCTCTATCTCGTGACCTTGTGATCCACCCGCTTCGGCCTCCCAAAGTGCTGGGATTACAGGTGTGAGCAACTGCGCCTGGCCGAGAGTCTTATTTACTTGCTTGTTTGTTATGTTAGCAAACCTAGAATTAAACAGGTCAGAGGTCTTCTGCTGAATTAAATTATTTGATGCATCCATTCATACAGCAAATATTAACTGTTGACCTGCAAATGTGTTTGGTAAATACATCAGCGTAAAACTTCAATCTGAAAGCTTTTACCTTTATGTTTCAGGGAGATAACCTAATTACAGAATGTCGCTACAGCACAAAAGATAGAGCTGAGATGACTTGGGTAAGAAAATTTTATTATTAATTAAAGTTCATTTATGGAGAGAAAGAAATAAACTTGATTTTAGAAGAAAATGGTAAAAACCATTTCCATTTGGAAAGAAAAGTTCTAAAAATTTTGCGCATCAGGTATCCTAAAAATGGTATCAGTGATGTTTTAGCATTTTATAAGACTTCAAATTAACGATATTATAGTATTAAATAATATTTGGAGTATAATTTATTGATTCTTTCATGGAAAGCTATCCTTAGTCTTTTAATTTTTCTCATATAATATTTTTAAAATAACTGTGGTCATTAATTGACTATCTACTTGAGCCTGGCTTAGATAAATCCAAACTTCCAAAGGAAGAAGGAACTTCATGACCTTGAGGCCTCTGAATCATAGAGAAATTTGGTTCCAACAGATTTATTGAGGGAATTCCACCAAGCATACAAGAAATAGATCATTCATGTCTTAATCTCTTTCACGAACACAAAAAGAGAGAACGTCTCCCACCAACTTATTAAATTACCATAATCTTAAAACTAAAACTTCACAAGGGTAGTATAAAAGAGGCCAGTAGCATGCACCTGATGGAAATAACTTGGACAAAATTTTGACAAAACAAATCCTTTTTTATATATACATCTAATGATGAGACCAACTTCAGTTTAGCTGAGGAATATAAAATTGATTTAAATTAGAAAATATATTAATGTCTTCTACATGAAAATATTGAAGGAAAAAGACATATAATCACCTGAACAGAGGTAGAAAAAGCAAAATTCAAGTTTACTGTTGACAGGGGAGACATTTAGCAAGCCTGGAACAGGAAGGAATTGTTTTAACGAGGTAAAAGTTAGCTCTGAAAAAGCTATAGCAATATTAAATTAAATGAAATATCAGAAGTTTTTTTTTCAAGTTAGGAAGAATATAAGGGCATTTGTTATCACTACTTGTATTTAACATTGTACTGGAAAAGAAATGAAAATAAGATATAAGGATCAGAAAGGCAGAAGTGAAGAAACAAAACACATTATTCACAGATATTGTAATTTTCTGCATCAAACCCTCCTCCAAATTGATACTATCTAAATTGCATTTCAGTGTATAAGAAATTATTTCAAGAAAATACAATTTAAAATAAAAATTATACAGAAATAAAATCTAACAGGTTTGGTCTCTGTGAAAAAGCTTATAAATCTTTATTGTGAAACATTAAAGAATGCCTAAAGACATTAAGTGTTCATGGACAGAAAGGCTCAGTAAAATAGAGAAAATACTTCAATTTATATTGGTCTATAAATTTGATATAATTCCAGTAAAGAAAATTCAGAGAAATTTTATTATTTGAGGTTTGGGTATCCTAAGAAATCTTCACCGACCAAGGTTGCAAATATTTTCACCTATTTTTTTATTTATATAAACCTTTTGCTGTTTTAGCTTTTACTTGGAGCAAGTTGATTCTAAAATTTACACAAAAGAGCAAAAGGTTAAAAATAGGCAAGATAAGACTAAAAAGAACAAGGTAGAAAACAATCTACTAGATAAGGTTTATTTTAAAGCTAGTGATTAATACAGCATGCTTTGAGTCCCAAGTTAGAAGACTTGGAACAGAAGAGGGATCTCAGAAACAGACCTACAAACCCTATGGTTGGAAACTTGGTTATGATAGACATAGCATTTAGATAAATGGAAAAGGATAAACTTTTTATTAAAGGATGCTGGCACTACTGGATATCCATATGACATAAATAAAACTGAGCCTTAATTTCACACAGTGCATAAAAATCAATGCCTGATGTGTTAAATATTTAAATGTGAACAGCAAAACTTTAAAACCACTGGAAGAAAAAAATACCTGAATATATCTTCATGACTTTGGAGTACTTATTTTATAAGCAAAACATAAGAAGCACAAACTGTAAATAAAAGATTAATCAATTTGACTATGTCAAAGCTTTTGCTTACCAAAATAAAATACTATTAAGAAAGTAAAAAGAGTTTTAAACCAGAAAAAAATATTTGCAATACATAGATTAACAGAGCATTAGTGTCTAGCTTATAAAACAGAGTCCATAAATCAGTAACAGAAGAGAATACAGTAAAAGAGGATAAGACAAAAACCTTTCAAAGAAATAACAACCTAATAGATAATATAAATATATGAAAAGATGTTCATTTCGTTTAAAACCAAAGTCATGCAAATATAAACCAGAATGAGATATTTTGAACTCACCAGTTTGGCAAAATTTAAAACAGCATTTCCGTTGTGCTGAAACTGGGACACTTATACACTGCTAGTGGTAATATAAATTTGTAAAACCACCTTGGGGAAAAATATGGTATTATCTAGTAAAGTTAGAGATTCATATATACTCTACCCAATTCCATGCCTATGTAGATTTAGCCTTGGAATTACTTTTGCAGAATGTGTTTTAGGAGAGAAATACATCAACTATTCATAATAGCATGTAATAATATAGGAATGAAAAAATATGGAAATGTCTCAAATACCCATCAAAAATATAATGAAATAGTGAAAAGTTATGAAAATTAGTGAACTAAAGCTGCATATATTAACATGAATGTATCTGGAGAACAAATAATGTTGATTGAAAAGACCAAGCTTGTAACAGAATATATGTAGCGTGATATTATATATGTAAAGCTCAGGAACATGGAAAATTAAACAATATGTTGTTTAGGTATACATACTTCAATATACTGAATGTAAAGTGTAATGAAAAGCAATAGAAAGATAAGATACTAAGATAGTAATCACCTTTGGTTGGAATGGGAAGAAGAGAGATAGAAGCTGGGCACACAGGAGGTAGTCAAGGTACTGGTGTTGGTTTTATTTTTTTCTTAGGGCTTATGCGTAATTTTTCTTGTTGAAATATTTTCCTAAAGACATGATAAATGAGTTATTATTGTAGCAGTTATTTTGGTGCACTGTCTTGACACCCTTTTCAGGGCCAACACAACCAAACCTCAGCCACTGGGAATATCAGATGATAATGTAATAGCTCACAGCTCTGTCCCTCATTGGACATTCCTCCTTGGTATTAGAGAATGACTCCTTAAAGTTATGCTCCCTACAGTAGGACAGTGAGCAGCCAATGACTAGTTGATAAGAGACTGCAAAGGCCCAGCTTTCTTTCTACAATTTGGTACAACTCTGAACAGCCATCCTAACTTAAAGCTAAATTAAATACAATATTTACTGAGGCATCAGATGTAACTTTATTTGCAGATCAGCTTCTCCCTTTGCCTAATCCTGTCTTGCTCATCAAGAGCAAACACCATGTTTTTGCAAGTAGTAAAATCATTGTATATTAGTCCCTACATTAATTTATAATATGAACAATATTAAGTTTCTCACCTTTGTTTTCAAAAGCTGGATTTTGCTGGATACAGAATTCTTGGTTGGCAGCTGCTTTTCTCCTGCAACACTTGTGAATATATAATTCTAGTATCTTCTTTTACTTCCATCATTTATGATGAAATATCCGCTGTCAATTGGATTCCTGGTTACCTGTATGTGATGTGTCATTTTTCTCTTGCTCCTTTCAAGATTTTCTCTTGTCTTTGGCTTTCAGCAGTATGACTGTGATGTGTCTAGGTATGGCTTTCTGTATTTACCTTTGGCTTTTGTTGAGCTTCTCGGGTCTGCAAGTTAATGTCTTTCATTAAATTTGGGATTATTTCAGGCATTATTCCTTTTAATATTTTTTTACCTTTTTGTCTTCTCCCTCTCATTCTGGAACTTCAATTACATGTATTAACATACATGAAACCATACATGTATTTTAGACATCAATGCTAGAACATTTAATATTGTCCCACAGATATCTGAAGTATTTTCACTTTTCTTTTGTCTTTTATCTCTCTGTTCTTTGAGTAAGGCAATTTCTATTGATTAATCTTCAAGTTCATTGATATTTTCCTTGCTCATTTGAAACCTGCTGCTGAGCTCATCCTGTGAAGCTTTTATTCCATTTTGGTACCTCTCAGCTCTAGAATTTCTGTTTTTAAAAATGCTTTTCTTTCTCTAATGTCATTCCCTATCTGTTCACTCATTTTTAACATATTTGCCTTTAATTACTTGAATATATTTTTCTTCAACTCTTTGAAAACTTTTTAAACAGCTTTATTGAACATGTTTTCATCTGCTTTCAAGTCATTGTCTGATAAATCCAGCGTCTCAATCTTACAGTCCATTTCTACTGACTTTTCCTCCCTTGAATATAGATAATAGTTTCCTATTTCTTTTCCTGCTTAATAATTTTTTGTTGAAATTAGACATATTAGATAATATGCTGTAGTAACCCTGGATTCTGTTCTTTTGAGGGTCTTTAATCTTTTTCCAAATTTTAGTAGATAATTAACTACCTGGATTCAAAATATAAAATCTTTCTCTCCTGTGGTATGCAGCAGCTAATGTTTATACACATGAAGACAAGATTCTAGAAAATTCAATTAAATCAGAAAAATTTCTCGCCAAAATTCCATCAGACTGATTAATTGGTATTATGCTAACCAAACATCCTTATGTTTCTCTGAAATGTTCACTGTGTTGAAAAGTTTACTTCCCATCAGCAGAATTTTATTAGATTATTTAAGAAAGGCAGATTTTAAAACTGGAAATAATTCTATTAATTTTTAATTGTGTCACTACCTTTTAAAAAAGCCAAATTTTTACTTTTCAGTTTTAAGATTTATTAAATTTAATACTGGAAGGAAATGTATGACACTGATGACTTAACCTGCTTTAAACGTCAAAGGTGGTAGAACACATACTTTGCTAAATAAACTGTCTGTTTTCAGGGAGGACTAAGCACCAGAAATGAAATGTGTCTCTCATACCTTCTTTATTACCCAAGAATTAATCTTACTCGATGTGCAAGTATTCCAGACATTATGGAACAACTTCAGTTCATTGGTGTTAAGGAAATCTATAGACCAGTCACGTAAGTAGTAAATGTATTTCATGATGAGGTAATGTACTCCAGAGAAAGATGGGCTTTATTGTCATATGTGATCCATTATCATGTTATAGAAATTTTTATGTTTGTTTCATTTTATTACTTTTTTTTTTTCTGAGATGGAGTCAGTCACTAGGCTGGAGTGCAGTGGTGTGATCTCAGCTCACTTCAATCTCTGACTCAAGCAATTCTCCAGCCTCAGCCTCCCAGCTAGCTGGGATTACAGGGGTGCATCACCACGCCCAGCTAATTTTTGTATTTTTAGTAGAGACAAGGTTTCACCATGTTGGACAGGATGGTCTTGATCTCTTGAACTTGTGATCCACCAACCTTGACCTCCCAAAGTGCTGGGATTACAGGCATGAGCCACCACCCCCGGCCTCTATTTGATTACCTTTAACTGGGGAGACCAAGTAAGCTTTTTGATTACTATGTCTGGAGTCCCCAAGACTACCCTCAGGTTCTGTGATTTGCTAGGAGTACCTAAAGGACTCAGCAAATGGCTGTATTCATGGAAAATATTTATTAAGGTGAAAGCATACAAAGCAAAAAGAACAAAAGGAAAAGCCATATGGAGCAAAGTCCAGAGGAAACCAGGTGTAAGCTTCCAAGAGCTCTCTCTCAGTGCAGTCATCCAGAATGTACCAAATCCCGCCATCATCAGATTGTAACAACATGTATGAAATGTTGTCTTTTGGAGAATCTCATCACAGATTCAGTGCCCAGAGTTTTTTGGGGGAACTAGTCATATAGGTGCTCTCTGCCTGCCACTTACTAAAATTCCAAACTTCCAGATGGAAAGCAGGTGTTCAGCGTAAACTGCCTTGTTTGTACAGTCTAGGCACGAGTCACTCTTATCATTTAAAGAAAGTTCATATCAATATAGGAAATTGTTTACTATTTAAGTTTCTAGGCACCTGCCAAGGGTTATCCTTGCAAGCAGGCCTATCTGAGGTGGGCCTATTATGTTAACTCTTCAGGTACAATTGTATATCATAGGAGCTATTTAAGATAAAATAGACAAGATTCTTATTATTCCTGTCCTCTTAAGATTATATTCTGGAGTGAGGAAGAGGTAATAAACAAAAAACAAATATATTTTAAATAGTTATAGATGTTATGAAGACAAAGCAGTGAAGGAAGCATGTAGCTTTTGTCAATAGAATAAAGAAAGCCTCTCTGAGTTGGTGATATTTGAGCAGTGACCTACATGATAAGGAGCCAGCTATAGAGATATGCAAATACTACACAGGAAGAAGAGCCAGTGTAATGAGCCTGTGGTGAGTCTGAACTTAGCGTGTTTGTGGAGCAGCAAGAGAGTGCATTTGGCTGGAGAAGAGTGAAGTATGATAGAGAATAAGTGAGGACATATGAGAGCAGGTGGTACCAGATTATTTAGGACATGATGGGCAACATAAGGCCTTGGGCTTTAAGTGCAAAGGGAAGCAATTAAAGGATATAAACAAAGTCAATTTGGTTACTCTGTTGAGAAAGGACTCTAGGAGGGCTAGATTGGAAAGAATATCAGGAAACTTGTGATTACCTCGCTGAGGGATGAGGGTAACTTGTGTAAAGGTTGTGACACCGAGTTCATGAGACGTGTTTCATTCAGGTTACCTTTTGAAAGGAGCACCCACAGCCTTGTTGATCAATGGCATCTCAGGGAGGCAGTGAGGGATAAAGCAGAGAAAGGCTCAGTGATGTTGTGTGAATGGTGTTAGGGGAACATGCCTGAGGTTGATATTGATAATTCTATTTTGGACACATTAAGGTTGGTATATCTATTCTTATCTATTCTTAGTGATGTCAGTGAGAGGAATTAAAATGGCTGGTGGAAATTTGGGGGTGGCTGAATTTCTTTTAATATAAAGAAGATTTTTCTAATGATTAGTACTTTTCAAAATGAAAGGAAATAATGTAATTAGAGAAAATATACACATAGAGTTTTGAGACATGTATTTTAAGGACAGAGTGGAAAAACAGTCAGTGAGGATATGATAAAATGCAGATGCTGAAGGAGAATAGAAATATAGTCAAGTTTTTGTGCCTAAATATTATAGGGTTTATAAACTATGAGCTGAGAACCACTCCTCTTTTTGAATTAAATTTATCATTCATAGATTTTACTGTTGAATAATTTTTATCCAAACAACGAAATGACCACTAGAAGAAATACCTGTATCTACTAAAATAAAAATAACAAAATGCTTACATAAATTGGTTTATAGTTGACTGAGTATTTTCATATGCATGTTTTTATTTAATTCATTTTTACACAACTCCAATAGGTAGATCAGGACATGGAATCCCAGTTTTATAGGGGAGGAAATAAAAATCAAGAGATTAAGAAATTATTCAGCATCACATAGTACATAATAAAAGGGAGAGTTGGGGTTTGTGTCTAGTCTCTAATCTCTTTCCATATAACATGCACATATAGGCAGATATATACATATACATGAATACATAACAAATAAATAATTACATATGTAACAAATTAAAACAACAAAAATGCTAGCATCACATAAAATGCCATTTAAAAACACTAGGCTATAATCTCGGTTTTCAAATATTGATGTTATATTGTTCCTTACTTAGCCTTGAGTAGTCTTTTTCTCATTTAGAATATTTTTTACATATTGAGTGGAAAGTTTTTCTAATCGATGGTTAATTTGAGAGAATGTTAAAAACAAATGGATATTAAAAGCTGTATGTTTGCAAGATGATTGAAATGCATTCCACAGCCTATGTATATTTTTAAGTTTAAACAGTACGAAGCCTCTAAAGATGCTCAGTTACTGTTTCCCAATGAGATCCACCAATGTCCATACCTTTGGTCTCCCTCAGGAAGACCAAGTTGGATTTTCATCATTTGGAAAGACAGGGAAAACTGATTTACAGAACAAGGCTAGTTTTGACATGATGTCATTCTCCACTGCCAAAAAAAAAAGGGAAATAAAGAACAAAACCCATTTAACTTCATGGTTTACTTATTCCTCAAAAATATGAGCACAAAAGAGCCTCTATTTAAAAATACATGTTTAGACTTTAAATTAGATGTTCAAATCTAGCTCATCACCACAGTGACATAAATGATAGTGAAGGCCAAACTAACAAGGTGCTGGCTCAAAAATCAGAATGAGAAATGGCTTAGGTGCTTTTTTCTGTTTTGCTTAAAAGAATATTACTACTTGATATTCAGGATACAATACTAAAAAAATCATATAACATATGAACAAAACTTTTCTATTCTGTGCTTTTCATATAATGATTAATCTGTGCTATATTTTATTTTAAACATTCTGAAGCAGTCCTAGGAAGGATTGATAGAAAGATGAGATAACTACATCCTGTCTCAATTTTATTGTCTGTTCTGGAGGGTGCTGTTTCTCTCTGCCTCCTACAGATCTGGCAAGTCTTAAGGAAGAACAAAAACCTCACAAAGATCAAATAACAAAATAGATAATGGGTATAGATAAATTCTGTATTCCCTGTTGTACCATAAATCAAGACTGAATATGCAGGCCTTGTGAGATTTAAGTGATGGAAAGTTATTAGTTCTGTTCCTAAAAAAGAATCAAATAGCTGTTTCTCTTTCTCTTTACAGGAAAAATCACTTTATATTTTTACTACTTAAAACTCACACACGCTTGTTATGAAACATTCAGGTAATGCAGAACAAATTATTATAAAAAAGGCAAAAGCAACCGCCTCAAATTCTACTCAAAATAAACATTGCTAATACGTTGATTGAATGTTATTATAAACATCTGAATATGTATGTATCTATATAAAATGAATTGATTAAATACAGTTATAAGAATATAATTTATGCAGAATTTTAAACAAAACCATTGAATTTTAATTTTGTTTTAACTCATAAGGAAGAAACTAAAGTAAAACTGAACATTTGTTGAAATTCAAATAAATATTGTTGGTGGTGTTTTTAACCACAAGAAATAATATTTTATAAAGAGGATCTCAAATGTTGAGAAAACAGATCATAAAATCATTAAGTCATTGGATTCACTGTGTTTTAATTTAGGTCATGAAAGATGAAGACATTTATACTTTCATGTTTTGTCCACCTCTGCTTTCTACACCACCAAGTGCTTATTATTTTTATTATAATTTTAATATTTTTGAGATTTTTAATTTTTACACTTAATTATGAGACTGTCATTTCCAGGATATTTAACATGACTTGTGTATATAAATTGATTCAGTAATAACAAGACCATCCTGGCAAACATGGTGAAACCCTGTCTCTACTAAAAATACAAAAATTAGCTGGGAGTGGTGATGCATGACAAGGGGATCCTTGTCTTATAGCGGTTTTCAAAGGGATGCTTCTGGCTTTTGCCCATTCGGTATGATATTGGCTGTAGCACTGACATAAATAGCTTTTATTATTTTGAGATATTTCCATTAATACCTTGTTTATTGAGAATTTTTCAGATGAAGAGATGTTAAATTTTATCAAGGCCTTTTGTGCATCTATTGAATAATCATATTATATCAATAGCGTTTTTTTTTCTTTGATTCTGTTTACATGATAGATTATGTTTATTGATTTGCATGTGTTGAACTAGCCTTTTATTGATAAAGCCAACTTGATCATGGTGGATTACTTTTTTGATGTGCTGCTGGATTCGGTTTGCCAGTATTATATTAAGGATTTTTGCATCAATGTTCATCAGGAATGTGGGCCTGAAGTTTTCTTTTTTGTTGTTGTGTTTCTTCCTGGTTTTGGTATCAGAATGATGCTGGCTTCATAAAATGAGTTAGGGAGGAGTCCCTCCTTTTCGCCTGTTTGTAATAGTTGCAGAAGGAATGGTACCAGCTACTCTTTGTACCTCTGGTAGAAATTCAGCTGTGAATCCATCTGGTCCTGGGCTTTTCTTAGTTGGTAGGTTATTAATTACTGCCTCAATTTCAGAACTTGATATTGGTCTATTCAGGGATCTGACTTCTTCCTGGTTTAGTCTTGTGACGGTGTATGTGTCCAGGAACTTATCCATTTCTTTTAGATTTTCTTGTTTGTTTCCGTAAAGGTGTTTATAGTATTTTGTGATGGGGGAGTCAGTGGTGACATCCCTTTATCATTTTTTATTGTGTCTATTTGATTATCCTCTCTCTTTTTCTTTATTAGCCTAGCTAGTGGTCTGTCTATTTCGTATTTTTTTTTTTTTAAAAAAAAAAAAAAAACAGCTCCTGGATTCATTGATTTTTTTGGAGAGTTTTTCTAGTCTCTATCTCTGTTAATTCTTCTCTGACCTTAGTTATTTCTTGTCTTCTGCTAGCTTTTGCATTAGTTTGCTCTTGTCTCTCTAGCTCTTTTAACTGTGATGTTAGGGTGTTGATTTGAGATCTTTCTAGCTTTCTGATGTGGGCATTTAGTGCTGTAAATGTCACTCTTAACACTTCTTTAGCTGCCTCCCAGAGATTCTTGTACATTGTCTGTTGGATTCAAAGAACTTCGTTTCTGTCTTGATTTTATTATTTACCCAAGAGTCATTCAGGAGCAGGTTGTTCAATTTCCATGTATTTGTGTGGTTTAGAGTGAGTTTCTTAATCCTGAGTTCTAATTTGATTGCACTGTGGTCTGAGAGACTGTTTTTTATGATTTGAGTTCTTTTGCATTTGCTGAGGAGTGTTTTACTTCCAATTATGTGGTTGATTTTAGAATAAGTTCCATGTGGCACTGAAAAGAATGTATATTCTGTTGGTTTGCGGTAGAGAATTCTGTAGACGTCTACTAGGTCCCCTTGATTCAGAGCTGAGTTCAAGTCCTAATTATCCTTGTTAATTTTCTGTCCTGTTGATCTGTCTAATACTGAGAGTGGGGTGTTAAAGTCTCCCACTATTATTGTGTGGGAATCTAAGTCTTTGTAGGTCTCTAAGAACTTGTTTTATGAATCTGGGTGCTCTTATATTGAGTGCATATGTATTTAGAATAGTTAGATCTTGTTGAATTTTCCCCTTTACAATTATATAATGCTCTTCTTTTTTTATTTGTTTGTTTGTTTTTATCTTTGGTGGTTTAAAGTCTGTTTTGTCAGAGACTAGGATTACAACCCCTGCTTTTTTTTTTTTTTTTTTTTTGCTTTCAATTTGCTTGGTAAATTTCCCTCCATCCCTTTGTTGTGAGCCTGTGTGTGCCTTTGCATGTGAGACGGGTCTCCTGAATACAACACAATGATGGGTCTTGACTCTTTATCCAATTTCCAGTCTGTGTCGTTTAATTGGAGCATTTATCCTATTTACATTTAAGGTTAATATTGTTATGTGTGAATCTGATCCTGTCATCTTGCTGCTATTTGGTTATTTTGCATACTAGTTGATGGAGTTTCTTCATAGTGTCATTGGTCTTTATATTTTGGTGTGTTTTTGCAGTGGCTGGCACCAGCTTTTCCTTTCCAGATTTAGTGCTTCTTTCAGGAGCTCTTCCAGGTCAGGCCTGGTGGTAGCAAAATCCCTCAGCATTTGTTTGTCTGAAAAGGATTTTATATCTCCTTCGCTTATGAAGCTTAGTTTGACTGGATATGAAATTCTGGGTGGAAAAATTCTTTAAGAATGTTGAATATTGGCCCCCAATCTCTTCTGGCTGATAGTTTCTGCTGAGAGGTCTGCTGTTAGTCCGATGGGCTTTGCTTTGTAGGTGACCTGGCTTTTCTCTCTGACTGACCTTAGTAGTTTTCCCTTTATTTTGACTTTGGAGAATCTGACAATTCTGTGTTTTGGGGTTGATCTTCTCATGGAGTATGTTAATGGTGTTCTCTGTATTTCCTGAATTTGCATGTTGGCCTGTCTTTTAGATTGAGGAAGTTCTCCTGTATAATATCCTGAAGTGTGTTTTCCAGCTTGTTTCCATTTTCCCCAACTCCTTCTGGTACTCCCATCAGTCATAGGTTCGGTCTTTTTTATGAATCCCCATATTTCTTGGAGGCTTTGTTCATTGCTTTTCATTCTTTTTTCTCTGGTCTTGTCTGCATGTCTTATTTCAGCAAAGTGGCCTTCAAACTCTGATATCCTTTCTTCCACTTTGTCGATTTGGCTATTTGTGTATGCTTCACAAAGTTCTCATGCTGTGTTTTTCAGCACCATCAGCTCGTTTATGTTCCTCTCTAAACTGATTATTCTTGTTAGCAGTTCCTCAACCTTTTATTAAAGTTCTTAGCTTCTTTGCATTGGGTTAGAACATGCTTCTTTAGCTCAGATTAGTTTTTATTACCCACTTTCTGAAACCTACTTCTGTCAATTTCTCCATTTGATCCTCCATCCAGTTCTGTGCTCTGGATGGAGAGATATTGCAATCATTTAGAGGAGAAGAGGCACTCTGGCCTTTTGAATTTTCAGCATTGTTCACTGATTCTTTCTCATCTTCATGAGTTTGTCTAGTTTTGGCCTTTGAGGCTGCTGATCCTTGGATGGGGTTTTGTGGGGGCTTCTTGTTGATGCCATTGTTGTTGCTTTCTGTTTGTTTTTCTTTCAATGGTCAGATCCTTCTTCTGTAGGGCTGCTGCAGTTTTCTGGGTGTTCATTTCAGGCCCTAGTCATCTGATTCACTCCCACACTTGGAGATGTCACTCAAAGAGGCTAGAGAACAGCAAAGATGGGTGCCTGCTCCTTCTTCTGGGACCTCTGACCTCAAGGAGCACCAAGCTGTGCCAGAGGATTGCTTCTGTACAGGGTGTCTGACAACCCTGTTGGAGGGTCTCACCCAGTTGTGTGGCACAGGGAACAGGACTCATTTAACAAAGCACTTTGTCCTGTGGTGGAGGGAGTGTGCCTTGCTGGGGAAAACCCACTCATCTGGACTGCCCGGATTCCTCAGAACTACCAGGAGGAAAGGCTAAGTCTGCTGGTCCACAGAGACTGCGGCCACCCATCCTGCTAGGGGTTCAAGCCTAAGAAGATATAGGTTCTCTTTCTGAGCCTCTGGCTGGAGTCATTGGAGTTCTTGCAGGAAAGTGCCGCCCAGTAAGGAAGGATGGGTCAGGCCTGAAGAGGCACTCTGGTGGAAGACAGCTGCAGGTGGTGTGTTGGGCTGTTGAGGACAAGTCTTGGGACCAAGTCATCCAGCTTCCCTGGCTCCAGCAGGAGAAAAGTGCAGCCTGGAGCTATAGAGATGGATGCTGCCCTTCCCCAGCCCAGGGATCTTATTATGTTAGGCAGTTGCAAGTGCCAGTGCTGGCTGCTGCCCCTCTCCCAAGGAGCTCAAACAGCTTAGACAGCAGGCAGCTGCAGTGTTGGTCACCCCTCCCGTGGGAGTTCCATAGGCTTAAGCAGATTCCAGCTGAGAGGCTGTTGAGAATCTGCATGCTAGGCCCCGATGGCGATGGTGTGGGTTTGCAAGTAGGATCTTCAGATCCATGAGTTGCACAGCTCTGTGAAAAAAATCACAGTTTCCCCAGCTGGGTAGCGTACTCACTCACTGCCTCCCTTGGCTGGAGGGAGGGGGCTCCCCTGCCCTTTGTGACTCTCAGGAGGGCTGCCACACTAAACTGCTCTTCCTTCTCTCCATGAGTCACACCAGCCTCCTAGTCAGTTTTGATGAGAGAACCTGAATGCCTTGGTTGTCAGTGAAGGAGTCACATGCTTATTATGGTATTTTTTTGATGGGAGCCTCTGAAAGCCACTGTTTCTAGTCAGTCATCTTGGCCCCACCCCCACAAAGTGTTCTTTCATTACATATATTCATTTGTTTTCTTCATTTCAGAGAAATTTTCTTGTATTATATCTACAAAATTTTAAAAAATCTATTTGGGCTTTTTCCTCAGGCATTTTCTCTTACAATTTTTCAAGAGTGTTTTTCTGGGCTGGGTGTAGTGTCTCATGCCTGTAATCCCAGCACTTTGGGAGGTCAAGACGGGCAGATCACTTGAGGTCAGGAGTTTGAGACCAGGCTGGACAACATGGTGAAACTCCATCTCTACAAAAAGTACAAAAATTAGCTAGGTGTGGTGGCATGCACCTACTCGGGAGACTGAGACAGGAGAATCGTTTAAATCTGGGAGGTGGAGGTTGCAGTGAGCCGAGATGGTGCCATTGCACTCCAACCAGGGCAAAGATCGAGACTTCATCCCCCTCCCCCAACAAGAGTGCTTTTCTGCATCTTGCATTTTCTAATTTATTTGGTGCTAAATTTATTTTGTCTTCAATTTATTTCCTTTGGTCTGCAGTCTCCCTTTTCATCTCGTTTTGTTGTTTTATCATCTTGTATTTGAGCTCTTATTTCATTGAATTTATGTTATTAAATAAGCTTATAACATGAAATCCTTGTTGGAATTATCTCCAGTATAATTAACTTTTATTTTCTTCTAGGCCTAGTTGTTCCTGTCTCTTTACAATTAATATGATATAATTTTCTTTTCACCATATGTTGGCATGGTTATTGTCTTAATTCTTGCTTATGCTGAAGCACTTTCATCCAAAACTTGTTTTCACTCTGATAACAATGTAGGTGAACCCTTGACTTCATTTTAGGCATGTGTGAGCCTAGTTTTCTTTCTCTCCACACCACAGTTTAAGGTTTTGGTGACATATTTTAGGTAAATATGCTCCTATATTTTTAAAGAGTTTAGGGTGCAGGGATGGGACTATGTACTCAATATTAGAATGTGCAGGTTTTATGTTATTAAAAGTCTGCTCAAGGAAGTTTCCTACCTGGTTGGAACTGAATCACTATGCACGGGGTAATGACCCATGCTTTATATAATGTGGTCAACTTTGTTGCAGCCCTCAAGCCTTCCTTTCTAGCAGGGAGACTCCATTTTACAGTGTACTTTCCAACATTTATTTGCTCAGAGACTATGGGGAGCAGAGGTCTCCAACCCCCGGCCACACAGTAGGAGGTGAGTGGCAGGCAAGCGAGCAAAGCTTCATCTGTATTTACAGCTGCTCCCCATCACTTGCATTTCTGTGTGAACTTCACCTTCTGTCAGATCAGCAGCAGCATTAGCTTCTTATGGAGAGCGAACCCTATGGTGAACTGCACATGTGAAGGATCTAGGTTGTATGCTCTTTGTGTGAATGTAATGCCTGATGATCTGTCACCCATCTCCCCCAGATGGTACTATCTGAGCAGGAAAACAAGCTCAGGGATCCCACTGATTCTACATTATAGTGAATTGTATAATTATTTCATTATACATTACAGTGTAATAATAGAAATAAAGTGCACAATAAATGTAATGTGCTTGAATCGCCCTGAAACCATCCCCACTCATCTCCCCAGTCCATGCAATAATTGTTTTCCATGAAACTGGTCACTGGTGGCAAAACAGTTGGACCACTGGTAGGAAGGATTGAAAGTTGTATCTAGTTAAGTTAGATTTGCTGGTGTTCTGCTTTAACAATTAGACTGTAAAGTTTATGGCATCCTGTTGTCTCTTTTTTGCCTGCTGGTTGATGATAAATTTTTATCTATTTTGTCTTTATTTTTTATAGCCATATTGCTTGCAGTGTAACTTACATACGATAATATGTATCTATTTTAAATGTACTGTTAGACAGTTTTAACAGATATATACACCTGTTTGACTCCATCACAAACAATATACAGACCATTTCCATCCCTCATGAAAAGTTCTCTTATACCTGTCTGGAGACAATCCCACCTCTCATTCAAAGCCCCAGGAAACTGCACGTCTGCCTTCTGTCACCATACATTAGTTTTATCTTTTCTAGATTTTATATAAATAGGATCATATATTATGTACTCTTTCACACCTGGCTTCTTTTACTCAGAATGTTTCTGAGATTCATTTATGCTGGTGGATGTATCAGCAATTCATTCCTTTTTATTGCTGAGTAGTATTCCCTTGTGTGGAGATATCACAATTTATTTATTAATTCACCAGTTGAAAGACCTTTGGACTGTGGGTTTCTGGATATAATTTAGAAAGCCACAATGAACATTTTCACAGTCCCTATATAGACATACGTTTTCAACTTTCTAGATTAATGTTCCACGTGGAATCACTGGGTTGTACGCTAAGTTTATGTTAACTCCATAAGACTCTCAAAATGTTCTTGAAATACTATTTTTTTTTATTCCTACCAGTAATGTGTAAGAACTCCTGTTACTCAGTATTCTTGGTAGTATTTTGTATTTTCAGCATTTTGCATTTTATCAATTTTAATGTGTATCTAGTGGTATTTTCTTATGGCTTTATCTTCCATTTTCTTTCTGACTAATGATATTGAGCCCCTTTCCCCTGCTTATTCGTTATTGTAAAGCAGGTTTACTGTGCAGGTTGTCTGAGTCCAGTAAGACAGAACACACTTATACACAACAAGTTACATTAAATGGGTTTATTGCTTACAGATAGGCAACGAAAACAACAGAATCCTAGAATTTATTGCAAGCCAGTTCTCCAAAGCTCAGGAAATTTGCATGGAATGGATGGAGCCTCTACTGTAAATGTTCCAGTTGCATTGCAACTGAGAGACCTTGAAAAGCAGCCCATTATTGGTTTTATATCCCAGGGCTATGTGAGATTCTGGGCTAAAGCATTGAAGGACACTGTTTCCAGGGAATCTCTTAGTTGGCTTGGGATGTGATAACAAAGTAGCTTAGACTGGGTAATTTACAAGGTACAGAAAATTATTGCTTATTGTTCTGGGGGTGGGAAAATCCAAAATAAAGGCACCAGCAGTTTCAATGTCTGCTGAGGGCTTGCTCTCCATTTCCAAGATGGCACCTTCTTACTGTATTCTCACAGGGTAGAAGGTACAAGTGGAAGTTTCCCTCAAGCCTCTTTTATAAGGGCACTAATTCCATTCATGAGCGTGGAACCGTCATGACCTAATTACTTCTTCAAGGCCCCACCTCTTAATGCACTGCAGTGGAGATTAGATTTCAACATGAATTTTGGAGGGATATGAACATTCAAACCCTATTGAGGGGTACTGGAACAGAACCTGGGCTATTCCAGTCAGTCCCTTCCTATCTCAAGATGTTGCATTTCCAGCGCATTCTGTAGTTATTCTTGAGAGCTATAAGCAAAAATGAGAATGGATTGGATTGGTCCAAGGCCACCAAGAGAATTATCCTGAAGTTTTATATGTATATATACACACAGATATATACATATATATATATGTACATATAGGGGTGTGTGTGTGTGTGTGTGTGTGTGTGTGTGTGTGTGTGTGTGTATACACAGTCAGTCCTCTGCTTTTACAAATGCAGAACATGGGTTCTGCATCCGTGGATTCAACCAGCTTCAGATAAAAAAAGTTTGGAAAAAATTGCATTTATATTGAACATGTACAGAATATTTTTATTGTCATGATTCCCTAAACAATGTAGCATAATAACCATCTACATGGCATTTACATTGTATTAGGTATTATAAGTAACCTAGAGATAATTTAAAGTAGATGGGAGGTTGTGCATAGGCTGTATATAACTACCACATCATTTTATATAAGTGTCCTGAACATCACAGGTTTTGCTATCCTCAGTCCCCCATGGATACCAAGGACAGCTATGTATTTCTTTTAATTGTTTATTAGAATTTTTGTTCATTGTTAATTGAATTGTTTTC